AAAAAAAAAAAAAAAAAAGCTGGATTGCAGAGGAGTCTCTGGACTTTCTTACACAGGCTCTGTATTCACAGAGGGGAACTGGGTTTGCCCCAGCAGGCTCAGCAGTGCCACCGTGGCGCATCCACAACCACACTACGCCCTGGCCTCTCATGTCTGCAGTAGGGTGGCCATCCCAGTGTGCCTGTGGCTGCCTTGGTTTAAAAGTGGAAAGTCTCACATCCAAAGAACCTTCTTATCCCAGGCAGACTGGAATGGTGGGTCATTCACCCAGTGACAAAGGGCCTTTTCTGTAAGTCAGGAGTAAATGACCTTGACAAATTGAAACTTTAAATGTATAACTTTCGGCACAGCATCGGTGTTGCCAGGAAATTAACAAAGAACGAAACACCCTAGAAAATGCACTTTGGAGACAGCTGTGCTCACTCAGACCCTGTCCCAGCCTGTAGTCCACCTCACGCAGAGTCCCCTTGCATGCTCTGATCTGAATCAATGCTTGTCTTTTCTTATTCGGATCTTAGTAAATTCACCACCCCTCGTCTATCCTTCTGCTTGGGCATTTTCCTTCCTTGTGAGAGATCTCATGCCAGATCCATCCATTCTGTTTTCTCACCTGAATTATCTTACCCAGGAGTGTGGTAAAGAGCCAATGAGAAAGCACGTGGATTTAAGCATGCATTCAGCACAATATATGCTTCGAGTAAAGTGACTATTCAGAGCTGGGCATGGCAGTGCACACCTGCAATGTCAACAGTGTGGGGCGTTGAGGCAGGAGGAGTGCTAATTCCATCCCAGCCTGAGCAACTAGGTCACTTAGTGAGACCCTTTCTCAAAATAAAAAAATGAAAAAGAGGCTGGGGACATAGCTCAAGGCAAGGTTTCTAGGTTCAATCCCCAGTACAGAAAAAAAAAAAAAAAAGTATTCAGACAGGTAGTAGACACCAATAATAACACCAGAGCCTGGGAGGCTGAAGCAGGAGGATCATAAGTTCATAGACAACCCGAGCTATACAGCAAGTTCATGGTCAATGCGGACAGCATGGTGAGACCTTGTCTCAAAAACAAAGCAAACAAGTGACTGCAAAAGCTAAGGATTTAATGACCTTAAGACATCTCCATGAGGTGAGAAATGTTGGGGTGAAGTGCGTGGCCCCCAGAGCTAAGCCTAACTCTGAGCTTGTGTTCTCTTTCAGGGTGGCAACGAGGAAAGCGTCCCTGTTCCTGACGAGGGGCCATGGCCTTCCTGTTGCTGCCCCGGCGGCTGGCCTGTCGCTCCTGGCACAACCACCTGCTTGTGTCTGGTAAGCCCTGGAAGACAGGTCTTGGCAAGACCAGGTTCTAAAGGAGACATTGTCCAGTCCAGAGCTCCCTGGGCTGGAGAGTTGTTGTGGATAGAGGGACCTAGCCGCCAGGGCTTATGGGCTTCCTGTCCACCCCTTCCCGTCTCCTATCTCTGTCATCAGCTCCTGACCACAGGAGGACAGTTCCCCACAGGGAAGGGAATGGACGCAGGTAGGAGCCACTCTTCCTGTTCTGGGGTGGTGGCCTCTACCTCCAGAAGAGCCCAGGCCACAGGGCAGAATGGCAAACATAACTGGGGTGCTGCCAAAGATGCTTTGACTTATGGGTTTTTTTTATGATGGATCAAAGCACTACACATTCAATAGAAACTGTACTTTGGATTTCAAACCTTCATATAGTTTTGGGGCTAGCATGGTACAATACTGTTGTGATGCTAGGCAGGGGCAGCAGCAAGCCATTGTTCCTGGTCCGAAAGTGATGACCGGTTGCCGTGGCAACCCCATCCAGCCATTCATTTGTGTTCGGTGCTTCCAACACTCCACAGGCCTGGTGTGCTGTCAGCTGTGTGTTAATGGAGAGTAGCATTCAGCCATCACCTTCAATACAGGAGTCAGTAAATTATAGGAGACAGTCCACACTTGGTCAAAAAAAAAAGAGATTTGTGCTAGGAAATGTCAGCCAGGTGCAGGCCGATTTGAGTGTTCTGAGCACATTGAAGGCAGGCGGGGTATGTTAGGATGGTTGGTAGCATATCAGACAGCTTCACATCGCTACAACAAAATACCTGAGATAGGAAACTTAACGAGCAGTGAGAGCTCTATGTAGCCCACAGTTTTGGAGCTTCAGAGTCCAGGATGCCAGAGGAGGAGCACTGACCTCTGTGAGGAGGCACAAGTGGCAGGAAAGAGCATCACTTGCCAAACAAGGAAAGGGGGGAGGGGAGAGGACAGGAGAGAGGTCTCACGGTCCCTTTTGTGACCCCCAGTAACCTCAGGACCTCCCATAAGACCCCACCTAAAAGGTTTCACCACCTCCCAGTGTCAGCACCCCGGAGACCCCACCTCTGCCACATGGGCCTTTGGGGGACACTCACCCACATCTTGGCAGGAATGTCAGATGGTGTAAGTGCACTTTTTACCTCTCACACTTTCAATCCTCAATGGGTTTGTTAGAATGTGACCCCATCCCCATTCAAGGAGCATCTGTAATTGTCCTACAAGCCGGGGTCAGGAGGCACCATGCCGGCAATGTCCCCCCTTGCTCCCCTCTCCCTCACCTCCCTGTCTAACTGGCCACCAACACTGGCTCCTTCTTCCCCATAGCCTCTCTCAGATGCTTCCATTTTCTTCTGCCTCTCACAAAAAAGATAGCCGTCAACAGGAGCCTCCTTTGGACACCTAGAGACCAGCCTCCTGCCGAGGCAGGAGTGGCCTTGGCACTGGCTGGCCATGAAGTAGGTTCAGAAAGGCCAGAGGGCAGCAGTCTCTTCCCAGTGCTTCTTGTGATGGCCCCCTCTGGTCCATCCCGTCTTCTGAGGACGAGCTGTTCCCAAGTCCTTGCCCTGCATGGTGAACACTGGAGTTTACATTATGGATAGATGAAGAGAAAGAATGATGGGTTTCCCCTCATGAGAGCTTTGGCAGGCTTTCTTTTAGAATATTTAGGGATAATGTCCATGTTTAGAGAAGTTGCAAAAATAGTACTGAGAGACCCTACGTAGCCCTCACCCAGTCTCTCCTGTTGTTAATATATATCTCAAGGATGCATCTGTCAAAATAAGGACCTGAGCTGGGCATGGTGGCACCTACGTGAAGTGCCAGTATTTGGGAGGCTGAGACAGGAAGATTGCTGTGAGTTCTGGGCTAGATGGTGAGCTCAAAGCTAGGCTTAACTACATAGTAAGACCCTGTCTCACAACCAAGAACCTGGCTTGGCACCCGGAAGTTCCCTGACCTCTAGACTTCTACTGAGATTTCCCCAGTGTTTCTCTATTTCAACCCCGGGATCTGGTCCACGTTCCCATATTGCATTTAGTTGTCACGTGTGTTAGTCAGACACAGGTTACTTACAAAATGAAGGGGTTTACTTGGCTCACAGTGTTGGACGCGGAGAATGCAAACCAGAGCGTGCAGGCTTTAGTGAAGCCCAGAGCAGATGGTAACAGCAGGAGCGGGGTCTGTGCAGACAGCCACATCCTAAGCGAGGAAGCAGGGAGAGCTAGGTGGCTGCTAGCTGCCTTCCAAGTGTCCACGTCTGGTTTTTATTGAAAAGGAGAGTGATCCGCACCCATGAAGAGCTGTGGTCAGTGGATATACATCCGATATTTCATGTAGGCCCTGGAGTGGATGTTGTGTGCTAACCTGGAGTTCTCGCCAGGGAAGAAATAAACAGTTTAGTGTCAAAAGGGCATTGGTGGACTACTGGACTCTTTTAGAATATTTTGCTGAGTTAACACACCTATAATATTCAAATAACAGAACTTAACAAAAAAAAGGGATACAGATGAATGTCCATTTTGTATCTGTGTAGTCAAAGTGGTTAGGATAGATATATAGTTACATTCTCTTAATGAATAGAGGGATTTGTTCTAATGGTGTTTGTAAATAGGATATCATGTCCGCATCTTGTACAGCAATTAACCACTAGGAAGAATGTATGCAATGTGTTAATTATTGAATCTGTCCTACCAATTTGGTTTATAATTATCTCATTGCGATTTGTTTCTCAATAAGATTATGGAAAAAAATAAAAATATAAGTAAAAATATTTAAAAAAGAAAAAAAAAAGTAAATCTACTAAATTAAAAAAAAAAAAAGGCATTGGTATGTGCCACAACCTTTCACTCTTCCAGTGGAATAAACTCTCTAGAAATTCCCTTTTCAAGATGAAAGGGAAGAAAGTAAGAGCTGCTTTCTCCACGCTTCAAGGGTGAAGTGCCGTGTTCACTTCGGCAGTGCGTATCTTACAGAGTGAAGGCTGCATTTTTAACTGGACTTCATGTTCAGAAGGTTAATTTGTGTGATTAGTTCAGAAGCTTTTGGTATTCAAAGGAATTGCAGACAAACAAATGAATTTAAATGTCTTCTAGTACCATGACTTGTATTGTTTGATGAGCTCTGTGTTTATGTGTCTGTGTCTGTGTGTGTGTGTGTGTGTGTGTGTGTGTGTGTGTATATACATATTTTGTGACACTCTTCTTTTTTCTACCTTTCTTTTTTTCAGTAGTGAGCACTGAACCCAGGGCCTCATACACCTTGAGCAAATGCTGTACCGCTGAACCATACCCCATCCTTTTAGCCTCCCTGAGCTCAAGCTTCCTCGCCTCTGTAATAGAGACAGATAGATAGGACATATAGGGATAGCATACATATATGTGTGTGTATATGAAGCTGAAGTTGGATCGCTTATGTGACTTAGCTGAAGTGTCTCCTGAGTCCCCAGTAAGTGGAGCAACACTTTCCAGCTAGCAGACTTGTACAGCGGCACCTTGGCTACGGAGCCACTTGGCAGAGTGCTGTTTTTGTTTGCCAGTTCTTCTGCATCAGGTGATGAACACACCCATAGTGATCTTTCCTGAGTGAACACAAACATGTCCATCTTTTTTCAAAATCAGAAAACAAATTAAGTCCATGAATCGAGGCACTGCTGTAGCAAGAGGGTTGAGAAAAGGTGTAACCAACAGAAACTTTCAAGTCCTTTCACACACACCTTGGGGCTCCCCGCTGTCCTTCCCTCAGGATGGGGAGGTGGTCAGAATGCCTTGTTCTGTTCAGCCATTCACTGAGCTCAAGCCCTGGTGTGTGGGGAACATGAGGAATTTCCAGCAAATGACTTGTGACCAGAACTGTAGTTTAAAACCAACACAAATCCATCTGCTAAGTAGGGACAACCTCAATTTAGAAATTTGATTATGTCCTCTCCGATGTGGTTTTTCTTTTAAGATGGCTCTTGCTCAGTCACCCAGTTTGTCCTCCCACTTGCAATCTTACTCTCCACCTCAGCCTCCTGTGTAGCCATGTTTACAGGCATGTCTCGCCACACCCAGCTGGCTGCCCTTCTTCTCCGGTGTATGCTAGAATATTGAAAAGCAACCCTTGGTCAGTCCAAATGGGCTCCCTCTTCAGTCTCGTGCTTCCATGTCATCTTGGTACCTAAAGAAATACAAAAACAGTTCTTAGTTTTCGAGTGCTTATACCAAAAACATGAGCTGGATATTGTGGTAAACATCTGTAATCCCAGCCCTCTGCAAGGCTGAGTTTGGAGAACCAAAAGCTGGAGCCAGCCTGGAGTGACTTATCAAAACCCTGTCTCAAAATAATACTGGGGGGCAGCATGGCTCAAGGCAAAGACCCTGCATTCAATCCCCAGTACTACATAAAATAAAATCATGGGAAACACTATTCTATAAATCAGTTGATCTCAAATTTCATTACACATTGGAATCATGGAGGGGCTTTTTTTGTTTTTGTTTTTGAGGCAGCAGCTACTATGTTGCTCAGTCTAGTCTTGAACTCTTGGCATTGAGGTATTCTTTCTGCCTCAGTCTTACGAGGAGCTAGGGTTACAGACACGTGCCACCAGGCCTGGCTTCCCTCCTACATGATTTGAATTGTCACAACTGGGAGTAGAGTTGGGGACAGGTACACTGGACACCCCATGGACAGAGTCCAGAGATGCTGCTACACATCCTCTAGTGCATGGGACAAAAAGCATTATCCAGTCCAAAATGTCAGCAGTGTCATGCTTGAAAAACTCTAGGCTCCATACACATCTGGATTACATTTGGTTTAAATTGTTATAAAATTTGGATTTTTTTTACTTTAGTCTTTTATATACTAATATGATAGGCATCTTCCCGTATCCATAAATATTCAAAATTCCTCTCTCAAAACGATGGGCACATAATTTACCAGGAAATGTTTGGCTGTGTCATGTTTTGCTTAACTTCCCTCCTGTGTTGACCATGTAGGTTGTGTTCCTTTGCTGTTATGAACAATACTATGCTGAATATTTTTTACCCACGTTTCTGTGTGTTGGTCCCATTATTTTCTTAAAATAAATCCTTTTTTAAATTTTAATCACTTTTTTATTTTATAGAAAAATGGTAAAACAAAATTTCATGACAAGATAAAAGAATAACAATAATTAATACATTGCATGTTATTTTCTTTAAAGTAGTTACTCAGAGTGCAAGATATGGGTATAAAAATTTCTCCAATTAACATTATCTCGAACCCTCTTTCTCTATGAACTAAGGGACACTAATGCTATAACTACCTTGCAGTTTTCTCCCTTTTCTCTTCTTCTTTTCCCCATACCCCATCCTAATTTCTTTTTCCTTTTTAAACTTAATCATTTTTTTTTCTGGGTAGAAACCAGGGGAGTGCTGCCCTTTGCATTTTATTTTATTTTATTTATTCTTTTTTTGGTTTTTATTTTTTTCCATAATTTTATTGAGAAACAAGGAGCAATGAGACAGTTTCAAATCAAATTGGTAGGACAGTCCCAATAATTAACACATTGCATACTCTCTTCCTAGTGGTTATTTGCTGTACAAGATGCAGACATGATATCCTATTTACAAACACTATTAGAACAAATCCCTCTATTCCTTGAATTAAAAGAATGTAGCTATATATTTATCCTAACCATTTTGAATACACTGATACAAAATAGACATTCATCTGTATTCCCTTTTTTGTTGAGTTCCATCATTTGAAAATTATAGGTGTGTTAACCCAAAATAAATCCTTAAAAATGAAAATACTCAGGTGGAAGGACTGGAAAGCTAGCGCCAACATTTCCTCACTCCACTGGGACAGGAGCGTGCCTGTTTGTCGTAACTTCATGACGCTAACTTTTCTTATTTTGTCAGTCTGTAGTGTCCTTGTGACACCCAAAGCTGCCCAGACACAGGGCTCTGGGGCCACCTGGTCAGAACACGGCAGAGGTCCTGCACCTCCTCTGTTAGGGACTTCGGGTACCTATCAGGGTAGTGCCCATTGTGCCTGTTCTAGGGCTTCTCATGGTCTTCATTCACTGCAGGATCAAGATACATCAGTCAAGCTGCAGCCAAAGTCGATGTTGAATTTGATTATGATGGGCCCCTGATGAAGACAGAAGTCCCAGGTCCTAGGTCTCAGGTGAGTTGAGTGCACTGAGCGGTTTGTTTCTGAAAGAAGAGATAAGGACCCCCAGAGCTAAAGCAGCCAGGCTTAGGCACTGGTATTGTGAGCTGCCTTCCCAGGGTTTGCTGCTAGAGGTGAGGTGCTAAAACCAACTAGGCCATTGTGCAGAGGAGGGAGAAAAGGCTTCAGGAGACATGTCCTTATCTGTCGTCAAGACAGTGCTGCCTGGCAGAGCTTCCGATCACGCATCCTCCTGCTTGCCCTGCCTCTAGGGCTGGCTGGGGGTGGGGCAGCCCTGTTGGATGCACCCGCAAGTGCCTGGGGGACAGCTGGCTACTGCTGATCCCAGTTAGGATCGCTGCAGTGACCTGACTCTGCTGCACAGTCCCCTGCCCTCCAGCAGGAGGACTGGCTCATTCTCACCTATGCCATAGCTCCCTGCAGGCCTGGGCTCGCTCTGGCCTCTAGCACCTCTGCCTTACTCGCCAGCCAGTGCAAGTCCACGCCCAGGGGTAGGGCAGACGTCCTCCTAGAGCAGAAGAGCAGGACCCTGTGCCACAGGGCCTGCGTGTTAAATGCCTTCACTTTGATCTTGAAGGGTAAGGAAACCAGAGGGCATTCTGTGCCAGACAAGAGGACAGTGTAAGCCTTTTTAATGCAAACAGTTTTGTTTTGGTTTTCCAGATTTTTTTTTTTTTTCCTGATACTGGGAGTCAAACCCAGGGCTACTCTACCACTGAGTCATGTCCCTGTCCTTTTTATTTTTAAGTGGCTCAGGCTGGCCCTGAAATTATGATCCTTCTGTCTTACCTCCTGAGTAACTGGGGTTACAGGTGTGTACAACCAGATCTGGCTTCATTTTGCAGATTTCATTCAGTGCCTTTAAAAAAAAATTACATTATGTACCTGTAGGTACAAATTCTCTATGATGAATGTGACCATTAAGTATATCTAAAACGAGCCAATAAAACCTAATTTTTTTTAAAAAAAGACACTCCTTTTGTCACTATAACCAGTTTATAAATACAATAATCTTTTTTTCCATAGTTTTATTGAGAAACAAATAGCAATGAGACAGTTTCAAACCAAATTGGTAGGACAGTTTCAATAATTAACACACTGCATACATTCTTCCTAGTGGTTAATTGCTGTACAAGATGCAGACATGATACCCTATTTACAAACACTATTAGAACAAATCCCTCTATTCATTAAGAGAATGTAACTATATGTCTATCCTAACCACTTTGAATACACAGATACAAAATGGACATTCATCTGTATCCCCTTTTTTTGTTAAGTTCCATTATTTGAATATTATAGGTGTGTTAACTCAGCAAAATATTCTAAAAGAGTCCAGTAGCCCATAATAGTATTGGGACTTCCACTTCACTGGCAGTGTCAGAAATTGTTGACCTGAGTCCCCTACAGCTCAACATAACAGCATGCTTTACTTCTTATACTTTGTTTTTATATTTTTCTGCTGGATGGTTAAGACCAAGATAAAGCAAGACCTATGCAACAAGAGTTGTAGCTTTTGGGTCTGATAAAGTCAGTGAAATCCCCTCAGGATTTATCCTGAGATCCTGCACCTCAGATTGTAGATCCTTTGTCAGTGTCACCCATGTGGATGAGTCACGGCCATTACTTGGCCAATGTGCTCTCTGAGAAAACCTGAATGTTTTTTCTCCATGAAATTCAGTAATCTTTATACCAATGAAAATGATGGATTGTTTTGCAGTGTTTTTCCAACAGAAAGACTTTTTTCTTGCATGTTTCTATGTAAGGCTAGATCACAATTTAGCAGTAGCGAAACATTGAAATAACCTTTTGATATCCTTGTCATTAATATCACTTTATATTTTTGTGTGGAAATATATAATCCTATGGCATTAATTGCTAAGGTTTATATTGTACTGAGTTAGTTTTGGAGCGGAATTTGTTATGACAAAGCAAAGAGTGCCTAATTTTCAGGTTTTGCATAGAAATGCAGTGTATAGAATGTTTGGAATTGTCATTATAAATGTTTCTTTGATATGAAAATTATATTTTCAATTGATTATATTTTCTATTTCTCTTTTTTGATGTGTTTAGGACAGGGTCTACAGGGTCTACAGGGTCTAACTATGTAGATTGAACTCATAGTGATTCTCCTGTTTTTAGCCTCCCTAGCGCTGGGATTATAGGCGTGCACCACCATACCGAGTCTCAATCGCCACCTCAGCACACCCCAGGGACAGGGCCAGCACAGCATGCCAGGGATCAAACCCTGGCCACTGCATTCTGCCTAAGCAGGCACTTTAGTCCATGAGCTTTTTTTTTTTTTTTTTTTTTTTTTAGATAGGCTCTCACTGTACAGTCTAGGCTGGCCTTGAACTCACTTCGTAGCCTAGGCTGGCCTCAGATTCACAGTGATCCTCCTGCCTCAGCCTCCTGAGTGCTGGGATTATAGTTGTGTGCCTCCACACCCAGCTAAAAGCCTTTTCTAAAAAATAAAAAGTGAATTATTTTTGATACACACTAGATAAACACTTTCAGCTTAATTTCTTTTTCTGTCTTTTTAGGGTTTTTTTTAGTTTTTTCCCCCTGGCACCAGGGATTAAACTCAGAACCTTGCTCTTGCCAGACAGGCACTTATGCCACTGAGCTATCTCCCTGGCCCCTCAGCTTAATTTCTTTTACTAAATACACAGTTGGTCAGGCAAGAAGGATACGTATATGTATATAGTTTATTTTATCTTCCAAGTATCTAAATCTTCAGTTAGTAATTTAACCATATGATGAGATACTTTCCTGCCAACTATTTATATTAAATAATTTAAAAATATTTATAGAGCCTTCAAGATAGCTCAGAGGACTAAGCGCTTGCTTAGGCAAGTGTAGGGACCAGGGTTTGATCTGCAGCACCACGTGCCATGCTGGCCCCACCCCTGGGTATGCTGAGTGGGCCACCAAGACCGGGAGTGGTGGCACACACCTGTAATCCCAGCTCTGGGGAGGCTGAAAGCAGGAGGAGCACTACAAATCTGAGCTTCATAGTAAGACCCTGTACCAAATCATATATATATATATATAGTTGCTGACTAATAAACTATCAAGGCATTAGAAAAGAGACACAAACATTCCAAGCATGGGGGAGGCATGAAAGATCTCCACGCTGTCGTGGCCAGAGTGTGTCATGCCGTAATGGTCCTGTTCTTATCACCTGCAGGAATTAATGAAGCAGCTGAACATGATTCAGGTGAGTGGGATGAGAACACTTGCTCTGTTGCTTCCTTGTTGCGTTTTGGCTCGGGGACACTCCCTGTGCTGGCCCTTTAAAAAACATGCAGCTTGACTTTGTTGGAAATCTCTTCTGTAGTTTCCCCTGTGACTTCTTCCTGGGCCTAGCACTAGCTACGTGTTAATTTCCACGGTTTTTGTGAATTTCCCAAGTTTTTTTCTGTAACTGCTTCTAGTTTCATTTCGCCATGATTGGAGAACATTTTGTGTGGCTGCAGTCCTCTCAATAAACATTGGGCCCTCGTTACGTATGACCTGCCCTCTGGTGCCCCCTGAAGAACGCTCCCTCCCGGCGTCAGGAGACTGTGCGCTCTGCTGTTGCTGGGAGGTGTGCTCTGCAGAGGCGCGTTAGATCCTTGCGTTTGGGGTGCTGCTCACTTTCCTCAAGAATCATTTTGTTAGCTGTCCTTTCCATTACTAAATGTCACTGTTGGAACCACAGGCTGTTAAAGTGGAACGTTTCCCCCCTTCTTTTGCCATGCGTTCCATTTTTGCTTTGTGTACTGTGCGGCTGTCACTGGTTGGAAATGCGTTTGTCATTGTTGGATCCCCCTAGTGGACCACACGCTATCATTACAAGGTGTTTCTTTTTTATTGTTTTGTTTTTTTAGTTTATTCTGGTCCTAGCATAAGCCCTTCTAGCGTTCCTATGGCTGCTGTGTGGAGCGAATATCTTTTTCTATCCTCCTTTCTCTTTCATTTGTTCCTTCCTTTGTTCTCTCTCTCTCTCTCTCTCTCTCTCTCTCTCTCTCTCTCTCTCTCTCTCCCCCCCCCATTTGCAGACCAGACTCAAATACCTTAGCCTCCCAGAGAGCTGAGATTCAGGTGTCCACTACCACACTGGCTTTTCCCCTTCACTTTATGTTCAACTATTTATAGTCTTAAGTGGTCTGTCTCCTTATAAATAGCATATAGTTGGTTCTTTTTATTCAATCTGACCATCTCTGACTTTGTATTGGGTCATTTAATTGGTTCAATTAATGCTATTATTGATGTGATTGAATTTATGTTTCCAGTCTTACCTTTGGTTCTCTTTGTTTTATATCTTTTTTGCTCCTTTATTTTGCATTTTGTTTGTTTATGTTTTGTGCATTAAGTAAATATTTTCTAGTGTAGCCCTTCATTTCTCCAATAATTACTGTTTTTTCTGCTCTTCTGAGCATCTGCTCAAAGACTTACTATATATATTTGTCATATATATATATATATATTTTACTATATATCTTACCTTCCAAAATCTACTTATATCTCAAGCTTTGCAATATATGAAGCATAAACAGAATAGTTTACAAAATACGAGAACCACAGCTTCAGGAACTTCATAGAGTGCGTTGCTCCTGGAGTTGCTCCTGGAGAAAGATCTATCATGTTGCTGGCACCCCCAGTGACACCCCCCCCCCCGCGTCCACAGCAGGCGCAGGGCGTGGTTTGCTCCACCGACTGGAGCTTATTCCTAGTGGACTGAGACCCCTGAGAGATGTGGTGACACTGAGTTAGTCTTTCTTTCCCTAAGAATGCAGAGGCTGTACATTTTTTCTGCAACTACGAAGAGAGCCGAGGCAACTACCTGGTCGATGTGGATGGTAACCGCATGCTGGATCTCTACTCCCAGATCTCCTCTGTCCCCATAGGTAAGAGCTGGAGAGCTGGTTCCAGAAGCACTTTCTCTCTCTGTCTGTCTGTCTCTGTCTCTGTCTCTGTCTCTGTCTCTCTCTCTCTCTCTCTCTCTCTCTCTCTCTCTCTCTCTCTCCAGGCTTTAGACACCCCCCAAAAAGTGGCAACATGCCTATATGTTGCTGGACACCTCAGGGTCCCAAGAAAGAGTAATGTGGGGTACAGCAGGTGTTCCCAAACCCTGGGCCATGGCCCACACAGTAGAAGGAGAATGAAGCTTCGTCTGTATTCACAGCTGTATGCCCCATCACTCTCTTTACTGCCTGAGCCAACCTCCTGTCAGAGCAGCCGTGATATGAGACTTGCAGGAGTGTGAACCCAACTGTGAACTGCACACGCGTGGGATCTTGCTTGTGTGCTCTTTGTGGAAAATTAATGTGAAACGGTCCACCACCACCACTTTCCCCACCTGTGGAAGTACTGTCATCTACAACACTGGTTTCTGGTGCCGAAAAGGTGACAGTATATTATTAGGCATGTGACATGATTTTTCTCATTACTCCTCCCCAAAACCTTACAGAGTGGGTACATGTTTGTACCCCTATTCTGCAGGTAGGTAGGTAAAGCCTAGAGAGGTTAAGTAGCATGTGGTAGAGGTATAGCTTGTTTTGAGTGCAGGTCTGTGTGACTACAGTGTCCACAGTGTAGGACAACAGGATGGATTTCCAGAAGAAGAGACTGCAACCAGGACTCTTGTCCAAGTTGTCCATGGAAGAAGAATACTCAGGAGAAAGGAGAGAAGGGAAAGGGCAGGGCAACAAGCAGAAAGAACAAGGGGCCTCTGGAGAATCGAGCTGTGCCGAGGGCCTGTGGCATGCCTGTACCAGCCCAGCATTGCCCATTGGCTGCCAGAGGGGCAGGCCTGTGTCCTCTCCTGGCCAAGCGGCTTCTACACAGCAAGGACAATCTTCTAGATGGGGAGGCAGCAGGAACTGTCATCAGCCAGCACACAGAGCAGCTGGGAGGGGGGTAACCTGCCCAGGAGAAGCTAACTGACCCAGGTATAATACCAGTGGCATCTGCCTCCCCGACTGCCCTCCCAGCCATGCAAAGCAATGCAGATGGCAGGATGGATGGGGCTAATGTGGAAACGCAGAAGCTGCTATGTGGATGGCTAACGTCCCTCTGGTTGGTTGGTAGACTCCTGGTGGTGTCTGCTGCTTTAGGCTGTGTGTGGTGAAGGGGATCCTGTTGCAGATGAGCCTGATTATCTGCCACAGAGGAGGTTGGGTGTCTCGCACTCTCCAGCAGCAGCAGCAGCAGCAGCAGCAGCAGCAGCAGCAGCAGCAGCAGTGCCCCTGGCCTCTCAGCAGTGTGAGGAGGTTCTACTGAGATCCAGCCTTCACAGTTCCCTTTCTCTGCTTAGCAGCCCATTTCCTCAGAGCCATGAGGATGTGATCAGAGACTAAGAGGGTGACTCATTGCTAGGGGGGCATTAAGAGATGCCTCGGGATTTGCAGGCACTTTAGAGTCAAGGAGTTAGAAAACCTCACCTCTCATGTAGGCTAGAGTGCAAAGGATGCACTCTCAGTTGTCCTAGATTCAAATCCTGGCTCCTTCTCTCAGGCATGGCACTGGGACGACACCCCGGGCTCCTTCAGTTGCAATCCCAGCCATCACATAGGTGAAAAGAGTCGGATCTGCAGCACTTGTTAGAGGACTACATTGAGACTAAAGTTCGAAGAGTTTTTGCAGGCTACTCTATATCCCCTATCTTTAAGTTTAAGAATGTTTGGGTTTTTTCGATTTTGGTTTTCGCTTTCTGGTTTCTAGCAAAGGGGTAGTTAATGGGCATTGAACCCACACCCCATGAGCCTAAGGAGCTACATCTTCAGCCCCTTTTATTTTATTCATTTGTGTTTTCAGACAGGGTCTTATTAAGTTGTCCAGGCTGCCCTGAAACTTACAGTCATCCTGCCTCAGTTTTCCAAGCAGCTGGGGTGACATGTGTGTGCCTGGCTTGAAATGATATTTTTAGCTCATAGAGAACTTGACCATAACATCCAATGACCATAGCACCCTCTCTGTTCATGTCCTTGCCAGGGATCAGCAGGCAGCAGAGTTTGCCCAGTGGGCACAGGGAGCCTAAGAATGTGACTCAATGACTCTGTCCCCTCTGCTTGTTTCTACAGAGCAGTTTGAACTCCTACCCTGCAGTTAGGGCATCAGTGAGGGTCCTACAGCATGGAAGCCTATGGTGGGATTGCTGTGACCCAAGGGAATGGCTCTCCTCTCCTCTCTTTCTCTTTCAGGAGCCACTAAAACAAGCCCATTCTGTGGCTTAATGAGATTTTCCTTATCTACTGAGGCAGAAAAGCCATAAACACCCAGGCAGCATGATAAGGAGACAGGATACAAGGATCTCTGGCCAAAAGCAGTTGGAAAAACCCAGAGAGTGTTCTGTCCTTGAGTGGCAAGCAAGCCTAGGCAGAGGGTAGGGAAGGGGCTGGAGGAAGTCAGTGTGTGGCTCCCACAGCACCTTCCAGCCTCCCCCAGCCCATGCTCTGCAGCATAATGACCTCTCAAAACTGTCCTTGTCTCTTTGCTCTTCTAGGCTCCACCTTAGAGAGAGCATCTCCTGGGTGATGCCGATTCTTAGCTGTCTAAACTTGCTAGATTTTGATGATATCAAAGAACAGTCCCAGGCCTCAGAGCCTCGGACTGGCGACACAAAGCTACAAATGCAACAGTGATTAAATACCAAGTCTCCTTCCAAAGGACATGTATTTCAATCAGAAAGTGAATTGGGTTAGAGCAAATAGGTGCAAGGCCTTAGTCCCCTGGGGCTGCTATGACAAAATGCCAGAGACCAGTACATTTCCAACAACCAAGGTCTACTTGCCACACTTGCGGAAGCTAGAGAATCTAAGGTCAAGGCACCAGCAAGGGCAGTAGACCCACGGTCTGGTGAGGGCTTTCTGGTTCATGATGATGCTTCTTCGCTGTGCCCCAACACAGCAGCAGGCTGCAGAAGCTCCCCATTCTCCTGACCTAATCACCTCCCATAGGTCGCACCTCCTAGTACTGTCACCTTGGGGGCTAGCAGGTCAACACAAGGATCTGAGGGGATAAAAATATTCAGACCATAAGGGTATGTGTGATTAAAAAAAACAATCGTGGTGCTTCCAGGTAGCAGTGGTTCTGTTCCCCCAGAGTCTACTTTCTGCTCCAAGAGTCACCCATTAGTCTTTTCTCACATGTGACAGTGTTGAGTTCTTGCCCCTCTCACTCAGTTACTATATCATTCATTCAACTGAAACACATTAGGCTGAACATTTGGGGGGTCTTATGATCCCATCTCCAGACCTCAGGGCCACCCTCCTCCTAAAAGCCTGGCCTTCCTGCAGGGCTCCTGCGAGGCCTGGCAATAAGGAACAGAAGCCCCCCTGCACATCGTAGATGTTGGATAGATGGATTCTGTCCTGAAGAGGGTGGATGGGGAAGGTGCTGCTCGCACCGGAGCCGCACTGTCCTGGGCCCAGAGCCTGTCTCTGAGGGAGAGAAGCCAGGCCTGTTCTTCGTTTTCATTGGCCCCAGTGAGCTAGCAAAGCCTGCCTCCGGGCGCTGGGAAGATTAAGTGAAATCAAGCATACAGAGCATTTGACACAGAGCTTGGCACATACTGCTCAATAAATAGGAGCTCTAATCTCATCAGTTATGTGTGTTTTCTTTCTCTTATGTTCCAAAAGTTTAAATATGTAAAGACTGAAATTTCTGAGAATGTTTATCAAGGTGGTTGAACCAGATGAAGCTGTGTTTTATGCCATTCATTCATCAAATATATGTGTATTGAAGCAGTAAAGAAGTACCACACCAAGCAAGCAGAGAAGTTAAATTACAGTGCGAGGCAGGACATCCTCATTTTGTCTTTTTTTTTTTTTTTTTTTTTACTTTCTGCAAAGCTTTATTCCAGAGGGGCTCAGTCCTTCTTGGCAGCTGCCTTCCTCATGGCGGCTGGCACGTTGCTCAGCTCCTCATGCCTCCTCTTGGAGTGGATGTGTGTCCCCGCCCTTTTCTTGATGAACTTGAGGGTACGCTTGTCCTTGGAGACGTTGAGCAGCTCCATGGCACACTACTTGTGGGGGTGAAGCCGCACACCTCCCGGATCATGTCCCACACAAACTTGGTGTGTTCGGTGAGACGTTCGCGATGGCAGCTGTGCCTTGGTTTGCTCACATTCTTAGTCACCTTGTGGCCCTTGCTGAGGCCCACGGCCATGGGATAGCAGAGGGCCATGGCTACTCTTCTTCGATGGTTGCTGTGACAGAAGCTTCATTTTGTCTTTGGGTCACTTGTTACATTCATTTTGTTTTGTATGGAAAATTGAACTCAGGGCCTCGAGTTTGCCAGCAGGCACTGTGCCACTGAGCTACATCGCTGACCCACTCATTACAATTTTTTTTTTTTTTTTTTTTTTGGCGGAACCAGGGATTGAACTCAGATCCTTGCGTTTGCCAGTCAAGCACTTATCCTACTGAGCCATCTCCCCAGCCCCTACAATTTCATAGGAATATAATTGATTATTGTGCACTTAATCTCACCTCCTTGTTAGCACTAATCATTTCTTAGTGGACTCCTTAAGATTTCTCCATATATGGGCTGGTGAGATAGCTCAGCGATATAAAGCGCCTGCTTAGGCAAGCAAGCAGGGACCACATTTCAATCCCTGGCACCACATGCTGACCCAGCTTCGCCCCCCTGGGTGAATTCAGCCGCCAACAAAAAAAAAAAAAAAAAAAAAAAAAAAAATTTCTCTATATAAGATCTGCAAGTAGAGGTAGTATCACTTCTTCCTTTTCCAATCTAAATACTTTGTGTTTCTCTTTCTTACATTGTATTCTTAATTTGTATTCTGCCTAACTGAAACCTCTAATAGGATGCTGACTAGAAGTGGCAGGGGAGGATGCCCTCGCCCTGATCTTGGGGAGAAAGCATTCATCTTTCACCACTGAGTACTGTTAGCTGCAAGTTTTTTAGCAGGCTGAGAAGGTGCATTTCAATTCCTACTTTACTGAATGGTGTTTTTTGTTTTTTGTTTTTCAATCATGAAACCACACTGAGTCTTGTCAAATGCCTTTTCTGCATCTGGTGAGATGATCACGTGGTTTTGTTATTCTACTGACATGATGTATCGCATTCAGACCATGCTTCACAGGGAAGAGACAGACACAGCAGGGCGGGGAGGCAGGCTGCAGACCTCAGTGAAAGGTTTCCCCGAAGGGGCCTCCTCAGGACATTGTGGCAGGAAAAAATCTGGATGCTCAGAGAGGCAAAGAAAGGGCATGTGAGGCAGGGGGTGCGGTGGAAGTTAGGCATGCAAAGAGGCGTGCTCTGGGGCACAAAACCACCCCTGGGCAGAGTAGGGAATCAGACTGGGGAGGCACAGCTTGCCCCTTCCTTATCCTCTGTGCCCTGCCCAGTGCCCAAAGTAGGCACCAAAGCCCCACAGCTGCCAGGACTGCATCGAGGCTCCTCCCTCCTCCTTCCTGCCCTCAGAATGACCATCTGTTCTGATACTGCTCTAGGAAGAGTCCAGCAAAACCTGGTGGCCTCTATGGCTTCCAAAGACACTGTGACCCTGAGGCTCCTGAAACTGCCTCCTGCTGGGCCTCTTGATGAGGACCACGGGTCCCTGCAGAACACTCAGCAGCATGTTAAGCAGCTTTCTGAGACACAGAGCAGCTTGACTCTGAGGGAAGCCACCATACAATAAAATCATAGAGAATATCTTCAAAAAAACCCTAGAAGTCTAAAATCATCTTGCTGGAATCTAACATGACCACAGAGTAAGCCTAATGGATTTTTTCTTTGATTCTGTTTTTCAAGTTAGGCATAGTGGCATGGTCCTGTAATCATAGCATTGTAGGATGCTGAGGCAGGAGAACTGCAAGTTCAAGCCCAGCCTGGGCAACTGGGCAAGAGCTTGTCTCAAAACAAAGGACCATAAAGAGCTGGAAGCATAACTCAGTGATGAAGTTACATCTGGTCTCACTCCTCAGGATGGAAAAAAATTGTTTTTAAATTTTAATTAAAGGGGGGTACTATGTTTCCCAAGCCTGATCCCCACCTCCAATTTCTTCCCCAAAGCAACTACTGTTGTTTTCTTGTAGCAAGACAGTCAGTGCATACATGAGGACTTCTATATCCATCTCTTTCCATTTTCACGTAGCGGTAGATCCCAGAGATCGTTTTAACTCAGCAGAGATAAACCTCTCGTCCTCTGCCACGGCTGCATGGTCACGTCAGAAGGCACGCATCTCAGGGATGAATCATAGGTTGCTTCCCTGATCTGTTATTGATGGGTGTTACATTGCTTGCCAGTCTGGACCATTACAGCATCGCAGCTAAGATCTAGGTGTGTGGGTCTCTAGACACATCTGTGGGAAAATCACGGAAGAGAAATTGCTGGATCAAAGCATATGTTAAGCTTTGTCTGGACAGTAAATGCAGTGGGACCCTGGGAGTGAGCACAGGATAAGCTGGTGACAGATAGGGGGACACTGTACAGTCCCCAGGTAAATGGCAAACATGCACTGAGCTCCACTTCAGCCAGTGGATCCTGACAAAAAAGCAGGAGGGAATCCATGCTTTGTCATGTTGGCCTGCTGAACTGCGGCTAGCCTCGTCTTGACACATACTTTGCCCTTGCCTCCACCTCCTCCTGTGTCTGTCTAGTCTGACGGGGTTCAACCTGAATGAGCACCAGATGCCCTAAGGCACTGGTTGCAGATCTCTGGGCTGTATGCCACTGAGAGATTGTAAGACAGGGTCAGCACCCCAGGCATCTCTGTCTGCAGAGGATAAAAGACTCTGGCAGTATGAAGAGAATTTCAGAGTTGGAAGGGATGGGGCAAGGATGTGGGAACCCTTGACTGGGATGCTTTCTCTAACATACCTTCCTCTCCCCAGGTTACAGCCATCCAGCCCTGGCAAAACTGATCCAACAGCCGCAGAATGTGGTATGTCTTCCCTGTTACATAAAGACCAAATGTTTCACGGCCATTCATGGGATCTCTGGGCAGCCCTTAGAAATAGCTCATTCCTTCATTCATTCATCATTCCACAAAAGGTCACATTATGCTCTAGGCACTTGAAATACCTTGGGGACCAAAAACATAGTGCCCCCATTCCCATGGATGCAATTGGTTAACCACACACATAAGCAAAGAATTGCACTCAGCCAGGCATGGTGGTGCATGCCTGTAATCCCAGCACTCAGGAGGCTGAGGCAGGAGGATTGGTGTGAGTTTGAGGTCAGCCAGGGCTATAACATGAGTTCAAGACCTGCCTGAACTGCATAGTGAGACCCTGTCTCAAAAAGATAAGAAAAAGAAGAAGAAGAGGAGGAGGAGGAGGAGGAGGAGAAGGAGAATTGCAACCATATTAAGTACCACAGAATAAGGCAGGCAGTTGTATAGGCATAGAGCAGAGATAATAATTAGTAATGCTTATGGAAAGTATGAGTTCTAACGTTGACATGTCTGGGAAGCCAGCAGTTATCCCCATCTTACCCAGGAGGAAACTGAGGTACAGAAAGGGACCCCCAAATAGGGTAGAGTGCACCTCCCTTCCATCTGACTGTGTTGCTCCTGCTCTTTGTTGCTGCGTGCATGAAATCACACAGTGTGCTCTGTCTTGTGTGCCTTATCTCATGTGAAGCCAGCAGTGGTGGTACACATCTGTAGTGCCAGCCACGCAGAGGGCTGATGCCGAAGGATCACAAATTTGAGGCCAGTCCAGGTAACTCAGCAACTTAGCAATTTAGCAAGGCCCTAAGTAAAATTTCAAAGTAAAATAAAAAAGGGAGGGCTGGCCAAATAGCTCAGTGGATTGTAGTGCCTGCTTAGGCAGACGCAGGGACCAGGGTTTGATGCCTGGCATGCTGCGCTGGCCCCACCCCTGGGATGTGCTGAGATTGCTATTGAGACTGGGCATGGTGGTGTGCACCTGTAATCTCAGCGCTTGGGAGGCTGAAAACAGGAGGATCACTACGAGTCCAATCTATGTAGTAAGACCCTAGATCCTGTACTAAATACATTTAAAAGAAAAAAAAAATAAGGGGGGGCTGCTGCATAGTTAGAAGTGGAACAATTGTCTACTGTGCACAAAGCCCTCAGTTCAGTCCCCAGCACGCCAAATGAAAACAAGAAACAAAACAAGTTGCAACTGTGTGATTCATCCTCCAAGTGACCTGTTGCCGCTGACTAGTGCCCTTCGAGGGTCCCAGTGTGTGAATGTAGTGCAATCGGTGCGTCTTTCCTGCTGTTGGTGGGCACGTGGGTGGTTTCCAGTTCAGGGCTCCAACTAAAATGGCTGCCATGCACGCGTGTGAGTCTCGCGATACGCGCTCCACACGTGTGCTGGACACGGAGCTAGGACCCGGGTCTTGGCATATGTTGGGGTTGAGCTTCAGCAAATCCCACCACGTCTCCAAGCCAATCCTGATTTTCACTCCCACCAGCAATGCAGGGACAGGAGAGAGGGTCTGGCTGCTCCAAATCCTCACCAACACTGGGTGTCACTGGAGGGCTTTTATTTGACTCAGAGAGGTATGTGCTAGGCTACAAATGACAAGGAACTCAATTCCCAAAAACAGATCTAAGGAAGGCAAAGTCCTGGTAAGGAACTGGGTCCCCAGCCTCAAACTGGTCTTCCCTTTAATGGACAGAATTGAAGATCACTAGAAAGAACCACTGTTTCCCCATTATAAATGGGTGTGCTCTTCCCAGGGAAACTGGGGGACCTTCCAGCCTCCAATTAGTTGACAGGTGCAGGGATCACTGGAGAGGAAATTGGGGCTTCTTGAAGGGGTCTGATGAGGGCTTTTCCCCAGAAGCTCTGAGGATATTTACATTCAAAGCCAAGCTTTGTTCTGAAACAGCGTAAGAATCCCAGATGCCTTGGCAGTTGGTGCTTTAAAAATGTGCCAACAAATATGTCAGGCACATTTGCAGTGTCAGCTGCCTGCAGGGGCAGAATCTTCCCAAGAACATGTGACGTCAGGGCCCAGGGATTCTTACTCCAGGAAGGCCCTGCCAGAGTCCTGCGGGCCCAGCGACCACTCACCCTCACCCCGCTGAGGGCTGGCCCTGTTCCTCACCTCTCCCATTTGAGTCCCTGGCAGCAACCTCTGTCCAGCAGTCAGTCCCTCACACCTCCTGCCTCACCTCCCCCCAGCCCAGCTGCTCCCCGGGCTTCCCCCTTTTTTTGGCCCCCGGGGTTGCGGCTTTTTGAAAGCTGCTCCACTTTCAAAGCAAAGCCCTTACTGATGTGGCTCCTGCATTCTTATTCAGACTTGTTTTATTTTGTTACTGGTGGTGGAACCCGAGGGAGGCCTCCCGCATGCCAGGCAAGTGCTCTGTCCCTGAGCCACCACCAGCCCCAGCCTTGTTTCTTGGTATGTGTTCTCTTACCAGTAATTGGCTGACTACTGGCCGTGTGCTGGGCACGGCTCTCACCTGGGTCACAGTGGTGAAGTCACAGTCTTGTGAGCTGCCCTACAGAGCACTGCTCGGGCCTTGGTAAGAAGAGACCCTGACGGTGTGTTAGAGACGCACTGGAATGGGTGCACACCGAGCTGAGCAACAGCCCTTGGCTGAGGACACTGCAGGCGGGGCTTCCTGTGCTTGACCCATCCACAGAAGATTCCTGGCAGGTTGTCAATTCCTGAGAAGGAACCTGTCATAATGACTTCCTGTAACTGCATAGCTAAAACTATATCCCCTGAAACTAATACCTCAGCTCCGGCTGCAATTTCTTCCATCACCAGAGCCATGTTACATTGCCCTCCACCTGTGTAAGATTTATGGAGCGTCAGGCAACCCATTCAGGACCCCTCCTCTCTCTCAGGAGTGATTCCTGTTCCCCATTCCTAGTCCCTACTCCCTATTCCCCATTCCTATTCTCCAATAAATTTTCATACTCTTAAAAAAAATTATGGGGTACCCTGAAGCCATGGTTACGCCACAGTATGTGACAGCTTGCAATCTGACTTTCCTGCACCTGGAATGGACATTGCTCAAGAGGCCTGGGCAGGTGAGACAGACACCCGCCTGTGACTTCCAGGTCCTCTTTGTATCCATCTCACCTCCTACCTCCTTACAAGCTAGGGGGTGTCCCCGTTTTGGCAGATGAAGACCCTGAAGTTCAAAGAGGTTTTTAATTTGCCCAAGGTTGCACAGCCACTTAAACCAAGCTCATTTTCTTCATCATGCTGCACTTTAAAGCTCATGGCTGGCAGTGAAGTTTCTAGAAACCTGTCCTCATTTGATTCTGTGATCCAATGTCCCAGATAGCTTCTGTTCTTGGTGTCATGCTTTGTCAAATAAGAACACCACCCCCACATCATCCCCAGCCCCAGATAGGCAGTCAAGCTATCAGCCTGCCCGTCCTCCTCTGGGAGCCTCTTCCCTCCACCCATAGCTGCAGTCTGCCTCCACCCTGTTACAGTGGTGTATCCTATTACATCTTAGCATGAGGAGAAAATGCTCCCAAAGGCCTCAGCAGGCCAGCCGAGGTCTCCAGGCTATACCTTGCAAACTCGTATCTAGCATTAACCCTTGTGGAGGAGGCTGCTGGGAGGGTGTGACACAGTGGCACATGGACCCAGCCTGGATCTGTTCTTTGCTGGTACAAACTCCTCAGTTTCCTAACTCTACAATGGAAGAGTGTTCAATTCCCTTGTCACTGCTCCTAGACTCACTGGGGTGGTCACAAGGAGAAAAGACAACAGAGGTCTGACTCTACCACAATTTCTAGAGGCCCAAGCCAAGTCCCAAAGCCATGAGAA